ACCCGCTGGCTTATTCTTTATGCTCAGAACCTGCCGAAAGTCCCACAAAAACTTGGAGTCGCTAAAGCGAACCCTTGTTCGAGAAGCAAACCGAATTCCGCTAGGAAAGATTCGTGCCGCCTTTGATGACGAAATCGTCTAAGGGCCTGTATTAAAAACAAGAGCGGTCATTTTGAATAATATATATATTTTATTGTTGATTATTATATATTTCTTGGTTATTGAAAAATTTAGACATAAGTTAAAAAAATTACGCAACTTTTATTTCGTCCCAAAACTTATGAACACACGAGGTATAATCGACTTTCTTCAGCTATAATTCCTAGACATCCACCATACTTAGTGATTTCCATCCTAGACAGGAAGCAAATTCTATACAATAGGAATTGTTTTAGTTTCTTATTGTATTTTGTATGCATAAAAATTTTTGGAAACTAATTTTTTTTTTAAATTTCTATTAAAGTAAAAAAACAGAAAAATATTGATTGGAATATAATTTTCAGATTTTTGTGATATATACATTCAATTATTGATTTCCCTTTAACGAGATGCAATTATAAATATCAATTGATATATGATTTCTAGTTTTGATATTAATTCTCATAAAGCCGATAAAAAAGTTTAAATGCTACAGAGCGTCTTGAAGTAACAGAATTACTAATGGGTCATTGTCGCCTTATGCAAACTCGACCTTATAATTATATTAATAATACGTACGCATAAATAACGTTTATATTAGGTACCTCTATATCATTCAGTCATATTCTGATGACAATTATTTTATATATACAATTGATCATTGTGCTTTCACCCACAAAAATAGAAATATGAATTGAGAGTTCAGCAAAACCTTTCATTTGACATTATGAGAACGCTTAAATAACTAGTCCGCCATTATGAGTGGTCCGCCATATTAGATTTAAAATTATGTAATTTCTTATCAAACCCTATTTTATTTCATAGACATATGACAGTGGGTCATATGTTAAGATTTACTGCTTTAAATTCAGTTGCATAATTTGACGAAGATGCAAGACGAATTACATTTTATGTATAATATACAGTGACAATTGGATTTCACGTATATAAAAGCAAGTTTCATAAAAATATGTTAACTGGTAACAAAATACTCAACACAACTTACAATAATAATATATTTTTTGCCTCTGGAGTTGATACTCAATGTTAATTTGTAACAATATAGTTAAAGGGAGTTCAATCAAATTACACCTAGCAATTCTATATCTTCATAGCATCAGTCTCTACTCAGAGTTCTATTATCATCTTCACAAGACAAATATTAAGTATATATTTTTATTACTTAACATAATGGAATCAACAAAAGAACTATGGTATACTTAAAATTAAAACTGGAAGAAAGACACTTTACAAACCTCATTAAGTTTTTTTTTTAATTACATTTAAATATGTGACTTGCAGTGATGTAATTAGCATCTTAAGAATGTCGGTTTAGGATGTGTTTTTTTTTGTTTGGTTTTGCTAATTATTGGCTATAATATACTATTCCATCTATGCTAACATTATTTTATATGAATTTCATAAATATTAAAATTTTCCAGAGTTGCTTTACCCACGAAACCCTGTTTCTAATAAAACTATATTTATTTTAATGAATAATTTTTTTATATTATGGATATATATTTATGAAATCTTTAATATCTATTGATGCAAATATATTATATGATCTCCCAATGTTAGTGGCAGAACATTGATAAATATTGAAGTTTAAGTATAATGAATGAAACGAATAAGAAATCAGAGTTTGTAAAATTGATTGACTCAGAAAAATATAACAAATCTTCATCCTTACTTCTGTTATCGGAAAAATGATCACAAACAGTATTTTAATATCACTAAACAAATTCTTAGGGAAGGAATATTAAAAAAATTAAGGTATAAAATTAAGGTAGTAATGTAATTTAATTTAGAGGTATTTATAACGAAAATATGCTCAGATTAAAACCTGTAATAAAAAAAAAATACTGAATTCAAACATGTTGTACGTGGAAATTTGGAATGCTATATTTCTTGCGAGTCTAATCAGCTCACCATCATCATAATAAACTAAATCATAAACTTAAGTTTGTATGGGGATTTAAATCCAAATACAACAAATAATGTGACCGCGTTTTTTTTCGTTAGAACAATAATTTAAAATTTAAACACATTTTTAACATCAATTAAGAGTTTACTTTAAAGCTAGCAAAGTCTGGAATTGGGGTAATATAAACCAACCAAATAGTTTGATATGAGTAGATCTCTTTTATTTAAATGTATATTTTCCGATTTTTAAATACACGAATTGCAATATGAATATCAACAATTTCATCAGTATAATTAAGATAATGATATTGAAATTTATTTATATCAGATGCATACTACTAATTATTAGGTCATGATTATTCATGCTGTTTTAATTTACATACACATTTATTTAGTTAAGATTTTCTTTTAACGATCGGATATCAAAATATTTATAATCGGATTAATAATCCATGCATTGTAATTATAAATGGAATAAATATTATAAATATATGTTTATTTTTAGTTGGTAATGAAAAAAAGTAATTTAAAGTACCCTTAATTACCGAATGCGAATCAAATGTCCAATTTTTATATTGATCGCACAGTGCCATCTTTCTTTACCCCCGTAAAAGAAACTATGATTTTGATCGATAACACTTGTGATACGCAATTAGCGTTTTTTGCGCTAATTATAAGATATAGCTTATGAAGATTGTAACGTATAAAACAACAAATGCTCAAGATTTCTCTGACTGATGGAAATGTAGAAAAGAGGAAACATTGTTATATATAATTTTCACTTATCATATAAAGATATTACCTACATTTTCACTTATTGTGAGTGTTCTTACAATAGCCATTAATTTATTATTCTAAATATATAGTTTATAGAAGGGATATTTACTAATAGATACTTTCGCGATACAATCAGTTCGTTGAAAAAAGACAACGTTATGTGCATTACGCCACCGTCTAACTTACACTAATAACTTGCATTTGATTTGCTATCAAGTTTTATAGAAAAGGTCCGTTCATTTAATAAATACATGTTGTGATTTAATTATTTTAATAATGTGAATTCATAACACGCGAATTATTTTTTTAATTTGGAAAATTATTAAATATTGCCTATTCAAATTGTTCGATAGGATTTTAATAAAAAATATTTTGTGACGCTTATATACATTTGCAAATTAGCTTTAAGACATTGCATCTCCGAAATGCAGTATACAATGTTTTGTTGACTTAAAAACAGTAAAACTTAACCTCGTGTTGTGACTAATTATTATTATAAATGCATATATTTTTCACTACACGATACATTTCACACTATCTCATCAGTCATTTTATTAGGTACATTATAGAATCATTAACATGTAAACAATATAGAATAAATAATTACAGAATAATTTAATTTACACATAAATAATAACGACAGTAAGCCACGTAAGAATGATATAAAGATTTTATATGTTTAATCATGTATATATTGCTTAATTAATTCATTAGTTAATCCATCAGATCATATGAGGTGGCCAGAGCCAAATTAAGAATAACAGCTTCTATATGCATAATTGTTAACAACCTGATATAGGTTACACAAGTTTCTAATATATCAATTTGATTATAAACCTTAAACAGGATGACTTCTAAGTTCAAAATTGAGTGCATCATCTTGATATTCAATAGTAACCAGACGCATTGTAGTTATCAATACAAAAACTGAATCCCGGCGACTGAGCCTTCTCACATAGTTATTGAAATAATAAGTGATTTACGAAAACTAGTATATAGAATAAGTGATGCTGTCCTATTTGTTTTCATGTGAGCTCACAAGTGCACTTTGTACACAATAATTTAATTAAACACTATATAAATAGCTCTCCAATTTCGTTTTAGGAGAAGGCTGGGTGAAAGGTGAGAACCATAGAATAGAAAATCGACCAAATACCGATTGTATACTCTTCCACCTTGACTTACGAACCCAACGTGCTTGTTCTTTCTTCAATTGCTCTATTCCCTGGAACATAGAAGAGAGCTCAATTATTTATTAATAGGGGGTAGGCATAGGCTAGATATATTAATATAAATAGATATAGACATTATAATCGAAATTAATAAGGGGAAATCTTTTTTATTGTATAAATTCATAACAAGGGTTAACCCAAAATCATTATACATTCAAACTCCCCGCGGCCCATCCAAATACCGCCTGCAAACCCGCGATCATGCATTTTTTGTTCTTAGAACTCAACAGCTTATATCGACACAATAAAAAGTGCGCACTAATAGGGAATATGCACATTTTAAAAAAATGTTTTCATATAATAATTATTTAACTGAAATTTTAGTTTTAGTAGTTAGTATTAATTGTAATTATGTGAAGCAATGTATGTTGCAATATCCTTGCAGGACACATGTTGAGGATAATTTATATGTAAGAACATATGTACCCACACGGAGCAATAACTATTATGACTATGACTATAATAATGTCAATCGTAAATCTCATCTTATTGTAAATTTAACTAAAAAATAACCAGCACCGAATAATTAAAATTTTGTAACAATAATCATCATCATCATCACCAGCCCTTTTAGGTCCCCACTGCAGGGGCTCAGGCCTTCCTTATGGATGGTTAAGGAGGATGGGCCATAACCCTCCACGCTGGCCCAATGCGGATTGGAGGGTATTAACGACTGCAAATGCAGCCGGAACCATCGGCTTAACGTGCACGGAGTAGCTCGAGATAATAATTTTTTGGTCACCCATCCCGTGACCGACCCTTGCGAAAGTTGCTTAACGACAACGATCACGGGCCGCGGCGCTTATCCACTACGCCACCGAGCTACTAACACAATAATAATTGATGGAAATATGTAACAACTATGAGCAGCCTAAACGCCGGAATTTTTGGCGCGCTTGTCGTGACGTCAAAGTACACTACTAGAGATGGATATAAGTACATCACTTATAATCCATATTGATTTTAAATCAATATGGATTATAAGTGATTGATTATTGTTTAATTACTCAAATCTATTTTTTAAGTATAATGCTTTTATATATAATAATCATATAGTTTACCAAATTGGTGAAATTGAAATAAAAGCCTAAAATATCATTTAAATTCTAATCTGTTGTTTATTTTGTGACATAATATATAGATTGTAACAACACATTTTCGTCACATCCACTTTGACAAGTAGTCAAGTCTGCGAACAAGTGATGAAATTAAATATTTAATATCATCATTTTTTTGCACTTTTTCATAATTATTTACAAGACAAAAACGAACTAATGTTGAAAAATATTTACATATTTATTCTAAACCAATAATGATCGTAATAAAATATATTCAACCCTTTTTTCATTTAGACGCATATTCCCTATTAGACTAAAAATCGAAATATGCTATACTTAAAAAAAAAAATTCTGTCATTACATAATCACTCTAAGAAAATAAATTGAAATGTTTTATATTTACAGTTTCGTCGTTCCATATGGCGTGTAGTTGCGTGACGAGCATGACCGCTGTAAATATGGCGAATAAGAGCGCTTCAGCTATGAGAAATAGCAGTAACACGACGGTCGCAGGCGGAGAATAAGCGCTACAATCACGCCACTCGTGCCTAATGCACGTCACGAACTGGTATACGGACAAAGTCAGCGAGTGGATCGAGATCGCAGCTATGTAGAACTGTTAAGAATGATATTAAGCTAGAGATGAATGGTGCACTCGTTTACATTTTAGGTTGGGAAAAAGTCTTTTCGCATGAAGTATGCATAAACTTGTAATGAATCCTTCCGTTTCATTAAAAAGTATACATTTTAAAGAAGTTAAGTCTGAATTCCAATTAGGAAAATGTGTGATTTTCATTGGTTTTTCTTACTGTCAAAATGAGTGAATATAATGAAGAAATTCGATACATTTTAAAATTATATTAGTTACAAATAAAGAAATAATGCATTGCAAGTCGTGAAAAAAAAATTGTGTCGTTTATGGACCTAGTGCAGTTTCTGTGAGAGTAGCACAAAGAACAATGGTCAAAATGGACTACGAAAAAAAAAGTTCTTGTACCAAGATGGAACTATCACCAAAATGTAGTATAAGTTGAATGTAATTATTATATACCAACAATTTATTTTTAAAAGCTGGGAAAAGAAAGATAATCCTCTCTAAAATATGTCTTTATTTTTTAGAACGCAGTTTAAATTATGTTATTTTTGAACGCATCTTATTAATAATGTCATTCCTAGAGAAGTCCCTCTCTTTTCAAAGAACAAGATCGATTTTATTTCTGACTAATCGAATTTGATACAAATCTTATATTATTTACTAACCATATAAATCCGTGAAAATTATAAAACTTAGATTAGATTACTAATATAATTAGATGTTACTTAGAGGAAAATAGTTTATTTATAATGAAATTAAAAACAAATGATTATTCATAAGAATCGATATTACAGTATTCAATCGATTGCGACCTCCCTTTTTTAGACAAATATGTGTAGACGTGTTTCTACGCAGACCGTTTTGTAACTTTGGCGGTGATTTTGTATTATCTTCTGTATTATGGGGAGCATACTAGGTTCCATGGGCAGTATAGAATTGAGGTCTGGAGAGAAATACCGGATTTTCTGGATTTATTAGAATTAGACTTAAATATAAATAAAGTCCTAATTATAAGGGGTAGAATTAAGTCGAGACATTGGGAGGAAACAATATTATGTGTACATTTTAAAGAATAATGACACATCCGGGTTAGATGGCATAAGAGAACACTGCTGTAATTGTCTTATTGGTCGATATACACTGGGATGCTGTGCTCATATAATGACCATAGTTTGGTATCTTGGATGGGCCAGACACGAACAGAATGTAGCTGCTCCTGCAGCATTCCGTGATGAGGTATTCATTAGAGTTGTAATAAAGAAAAGAAAAATCAACATGTTGTTTTGCTATATCCTTTTGAAATTAGTATTTTCACTACTACTTTATATAAGTTATAGTGTAAGATAGAAAAGTAGAGTTATTGAGAGCAATCTTAAAAATTCTAGTATTTTTTTTGATGTTCATTGGTTCACAAAAAATGATTTTATTTCTTACAGTCAATAAAAATAATTTATCAGATATGGAGCAACTTTGAAGTATTATGTGAAAGTATGCACTTCTAGGACTACGATTAGGCATTATCTGACGTGTGCTTTACATATTTCAACTGTAATACCTCTAACTCAAAATGATACAGTTTAAATAATACGACATAACCTCAAAAACATATTACACAATTACTCGATACTCCCAGCTTTTAAAAATATATTTAATGTCTTTCTTTGTTCTAGTTGCATAGGCAAACAAAATAACATATGTTTCATCAAGTTACGTTTTATTCGATTTTACTAGTCCAAGCATGTTAGGCAGATGGCCATTGTTCTTTGGTTTAAGCATTGTCAGTCCGATTTTGATATTAAAGATGCACCTCGCTCCGGTCGCTCTGTAACGGATAAAATGGATGCAATTTTTGAAAAAGTGGAGCAAGATCAGTATATCAGTAATAACGACGTAGCTGAAGTACTGGGGATTGATCAAAAACAGTTTTAGCGCAGTTAAAAACGGCTGGGTACAAAAATGTTGGATATTTGGGTACTACATGAGCTCACTGAAAGGAACCTAATGAATTATGTAGTAATTTATGATTCTTTATTACGGCGGTGATGGAAAGTGGAACACGTACTACAAGAATATGCGCTACAGGTCGAGGTCAAAGGTCGGTCAAGCTTCAGACTGCTGTGTGTATGGTGGGATGGAAGGGTATCATTCATTATGAGCTGTTACCACCAGGCAGGACCATCGGTACTGAACTCTACTGCGAACAACTGATAAGATTAAAGCCAGAAGTTGAGAGAAAGAATTAATCAATAGAAGGAGTATAGTTTTTCATCATAATAATGCTATCCTCACACATCTTTACCCACTCAGCAAAAATTAAGTGTTTGACTGGGAGGTGTTAATACATGCAAGGTGCACTTTCAGATTTTTACCCATATTGGGTTTCTTCAGAATTCTTGAGGCAGCAGGTTAACATCACGCAAGTTCTGCCAAAACCACTTGACGAGGCTTTTTGATCAGAAGCCCCAAAATTTCTAAAGCCAACTAAATGATGGGAAAAGTTATCGAACAAAATGGTACCTTCTACTTTAGTTAAATGTAAATAAACTTTATTAAGTAATGCTTTAAATTTTCTTATAAAATGAGAAGAAACTTTTTCCCCAACCTATTATATTATGCAGCTCTTTAGCTCATCTAGCTTGGATAAATGTCTCATTTCAAATATCCGCATAGTATGATGAACGCGAGAAACTTGGGAATTGCACGAGATTCAGGCCGAGAGTGTATTTATAAACATACCACATATTTTTCTAAAGTCTCTCGAGGTCATAATTCTACGCTTGTTGGACCTCAGTTAAGGATAATTTTATCTAGTTGTACAGCAAATTTAATGAATTTTAACTTGATGTAAGCAAATTATTATTGTACTAACAATAAAAAATAGCAGTTATTTAATTATAATTTATGGATTTGGAAAAATAACAAACGAACAGAGAATCTTAAAGAAATTTTATATTTAACATGTTACACCGATAATTGCAAAGAATATTAAAAAAAAAAAACTGAAAAATTACTAAGTCCTATTTTTATCAAAGGTTTCAGTCCAGTTTGGAGATATCTAAGAGAGATTAATTTTTCAAGAAAATTTTCTCATAGATTTTTGATACATTCATAGTCAGATTATGTAGGAAACAATGTTTCACATATCAGAAACAAGATAAGTACTCAAGAAATTTAAAAATTAATATTAATTAAATTTGAATGTTATTCTTACCGTAAATAACACAAAATATTTTTGGTTATTTTCACCGACGCAGTTATTGACCCATGGGCAATGGTGGTCCATTTTTCGAATGCAGCGTTGACACACGGAGCAATGATGGGCCCGTTCCGGTTTGATACTGCAGCACTTAGTACATTTGAATATCACTTGTCCCTCGCGAAAGCTCATCTGTTTTATCATTTCTTTGGTAGCATTGCCTTTAGGGACAGCACCCTAAAAATATATATAATATAAAGTATAAAATATCTTATGACTTATGAAATAGTCTTTAAAACATCTAGGGTACAGGTACTGCTAGCTTGAACACTCATATAACCGTGACTATAAATTGACTTGTCCTAGGTCTGCATAATTGGTTATATCTTCTTCTATTTGTATTTATTTCCATCATCTACTTATTTATATCCCCAGAATTTATTATAACATGTTGATGATAATGGTGTAATTCTGATAACATACATTTCTTATTTAAAGTACTCGAAGCCTTAACTGGGAAAAAATTGAACACTAAGGATCAGTACATATCTACTGATACATAGAACGGACGCGTTGCTTCTCGTCAGTCGGGAAACGTCAGAACCGACAAATTATATGATATTCAACATTGCACACTTGAAGTTAATTCCATCACATACTAACGCATACAAACACGCCAATGAAAAACTAAACTAACATTTAATCCATGCCGTATAAAATTAAGCGAACATATTCAAAATTCAACCGTTGTTGCTGAATTGTTTTGATGTTAAAAAATGGCAATATAATATCCAGGGGAACGTGTCGAACAAAGCTGATAAAAACAAACAAGCGAGTACACAATGATAGGGACTGGTGCGACGACAAACAATACAGTGGCTCACCCGTTTAGCTTTGCTTTTTCAGTGCTGTAGTGCAGTTCTTTTGCAGTACACGGGTGTCACATGCCAGTAACATTGCGTTTTTATATTTAACTTATTTCTTAATCTAAGGAAATCTTTCAAATATAGGTTCATAATGAAAAGTTTATAATCGAGATCGAAGAACTTTGATGCAATGATTAGCGCTTTTATACTTTAAGCAATTTTTAGGAGAGCTGGTAAGAGAATGCATGAATCCCTTCTTAGTGCTTCGAAAGACATATTAAGCCACTAGTGTTAGTTGTTATTAATAATAAGAATAAAATTATTAGCATTTCTGGGTTGATGTTAAAAATTATAAATAACATATACGATTTAATTTGGCTGATTGTAAGAGTCTGAAAATAAATTGATGTTACTTACGGGGTCGGTAAACATAGTTCTCAAATGTGATGCGAATGCGAGGAATGCTAGACTTTGGAAGATAAAAATGTTGACATATGCATAAAGAGGATAGCTTGAGAGACCGGGTAGCAACATCACCATCATCACAACAAACTCCGCATACAGTATCAAGAGCCATGTCAATACTGCACATATGATTCCACATATATCCTGGAAATTGGAAAACATATATTCGGATTTCAGAAAGAGTTATTATACATAAATAAAACCTACGAATATTAAGCATAGCTAGGTTTAGAATCTTAAATTAACTTACTAAAATAACTACTTTTCAAAATACAGCTAACTGGATATCAGAGACAAATAATATGTTTAATATACCTTTATACACCATGCTTTGCCTCCGCAACATCTATTGTGCATGTCACGGTCAGGCCGAGTCAGAACTAGACATTCTGGATCTACCTGATACTGACTTTCCATGTCATCTTCATCAGAACTATCGTAAAATTCGCGTATCATTGATTTTTTTTAATGAAACTGAAATAAAAAGAGATAAACTTGTATTACTTAGTGTTTTTATGGAAATGATGTCAAAGAAGGTCAAGGCAAGAGTTTAGTTATAGTGCAAAAAAGTTGAGGTTTAAGCTGACTTTTTCCAATTCTAAGACCATTTAATTTAAGATAATAAAGATAGGTATCTTTAACACAGATAAAAAAATATTACTCTAAATTTTACTGTGGTCAACAGACAATAGTAACAGTAAAAAAGGGCTTCTTTATATAGTATGAAAATATAATAAAATTGAGGTTATATATAAATATATAATATGGTATAGGTCGGTGAAAATCTGACGGAAGATCTGTCAAACGTCTCACGGAAGTATGTGTTATTTCTATCTCTTCGGTCGCAGAAAGTCAGAAATTTCTTATGATGAATAAAGTATTTAAAGTTAAGCAAGGGTCAAACTGTACTTAAACGTCAATTAAACAGATTTTCGTTTCTGATTTTAAGTTTTTCAATGAATGATAGCAGTTGATAGAAACTATGACTTGTTGCCATATGAAAAGTAAAAAAAAAAAGTTATTCAGAATAATCGGTTGTGCTATTGCACTTTACAAACTGGCAGTACATCTAATACAATTCAATTCAACTCTTTATTGCAGTCATGTGGTCATACTGATATTCTACATATTTACTTTTACTGGTTAGGGGAAAAGTCTTCGCATTTTATATGAAAATTCAAAACATTTTATTTACATTTAACTCAAGTATGTGGGTACTATTTTATTTGGTAACTTTCTGCCATTATGTATGTAGGGAGATGATCCCATTGCTATAGACATTTCGGGGCTTCTGATCATAAAATCGCAAAAAGTGGTTTTGGCATTTTGGCAGTCCTTGCGTGCTGTTAATGAAGAATTCTGAAGAGATCAAAACAGGTGAAATATCTGAAGGTATAAGATCAGGACTATTCGGTGAATCCCTTAACACCTCTCAGCCAAACTCTCATAATTTTTGCTGAGCGGCAAAAGATGTGCGAGGTCTAGGTCTATCGTGTATCTTTGTACTCTACTCACACAGAAAATGCAAGTGTCAAAACGACATATTTTTTTGCGTCTTGCGTTGCATTTTTACCATTTTTCTAAAATAAAATTTTCAAATGTATCGAATCTCTTCAATAGATACATTCATTTTGCAAGTAAGAAAAACAAATGAAAATCGCAAATTTACCTAATTTGAATTTGGAGTTATCTTCTTTAAAATTTAAACTTTTTAATGATACCATAACCGACGAGATACAAATGGTATAGCCAGAAAGTTTTTATTAGAATTTTATGCATACTATATGTGAATTATTTAAATAAAAATACAACACTGTCAATAAACTTCATATTGAGCAAAGTTTACATTAATGAAATAATCATAAAAAATCTGAGGTCTATACAATATCCCCGATTATTTAATTTATATATTATATTTACTTCACTCAAACTGAAACGTGGTATATTTCTATATGAAATTTTAAAGGTCTCACATCTATCGTTTAAGATTCGATAGATGATATGATTTCGTATAGAATGGTACCAGCCGAAGAAGGTGAAAGAAAGGAATCTTAGAATTCTTTGTATACATACATATGAATCATCACATACATGTAGGTAAACGCCGAATCGTCAGAAATCAAATGTCGGCGACATTCAATAATTTACCAAGTGTAAATAAAATTTGATTCGTCTGCCACCTTTGGCTATGATAGATATGCGATCACTATTAACAGAGTAGTACAAATGAGTATGTTGACTCGAGCCCCGAGCGAACGATAATAGCCTAAACACGTAGGGCTCTCACTCATAGGCAGTCGTCAGAAATGTATAGTCCATCTCTACACAAAACGCTTAAGGTAACCAACAGTGATTATTAATTAATATTTGTATAAAGACCATGAGTTGATTACAATATTTTTCGTCATGTGACTGAAGCACTACAGCCCAAAAGAAGTAATTCCAAAACTAGTAATTGTAAAACTTTGGGCCCATAGGCTGTCTAATAAAAAAAATAATATTGAAAATCGGCCAACAGTTCGCTGAAAAACATGCATCGCTGTCGATTATATAACCTCCTCCTTTTTCATTCTGAAGTCAACAAAAAAATGGTTTTCATTAATTATTTATTCATTCAAATAAAATAAAATTATTATAAAATAATATTTTTACACTGTTAACTATTTTATACTTTTCGTTAACCAGTGCTCAAAATCCAAAAATTTAAATTGAATATTTTTAAGCAAAATAGAACTTTCGATAAGTACGAAATACTATTGGGGCATTTATAAACTGTAGAATATCTTTTATTCGAATTCAAAACAATATAATTGAAATATTGCTTTGAATTAGAATAGTTTACAAATAATAAAAAAAATAGGAGGTATGAGCGGCAAAGCAGCGGCGGGCACGGAGTATGCGAAGGCACGGGGCGCGGCGTAGTCACGATTGTCGAGTTGCCGCTCATACCATTAATTAATTATAAAAAAGCTTTACATAGAATCAAAAATTTATAAATTTTAACTGTTTTAAATGTGCATATTATTATAATATACTAAACTTTGCAAGTGTACTTCTGTAATTTATTTATTATTGATACTTTTGTAGTTTTAATTTTATTTATACTTGCTTATTTATATAATAGTAATAAGCCGTTTATTCTGAACATTTGATTTTGGTTAACATAATTAAGTTGTTTATAAAAAATCTCTGATTTCAGTGTGCCTCTTGGCATAGGCCGCCTCTAGCATCCTCCATTAGTTTCTATCTCTTGCAACTCTTCTCCAATTAGGTCCTGCGGTTAGTTTTAGCTCTTCTTCCCATCTTTTACCTTGTCTTCCTATACTTCTTTTACTGTCTCTAGGATACTACACAGTTACAATCTACTCAGTTACTCAGTTACAATCTACAAATACTTTCCTGGGTACTTCTTAATATATGGCCAGTCCACCTCGACTTTAATTGGTCAATTTTTGTCAGAATAGAACAAAGACAGGAGGTCTTTATTCTTATAACAGAGTTTCTTATTTTATCTTGTTTCCTAATGCCTATTATACTTCTTTCCATAGCCCTTTGACAGTGTACTAGCATTTCTCTGTGATGTTTAGTGAGTGACAACGTTTTGCATCCATACATGAGACAATGGAGTATGCGTGTGTTGAAAACTTTTCATTTAATTCCTATGCTGAGTTCGTTGGATTTCATAATCTCTTTTAAAGACTAATATTTTTTCCAACCATTTGTAGTTTGTCTTTTTATTACTTTAGTGGTTTGGTCTTCATGTGAGATTATTTGTCCTAGGTATATGTATTCTTCCACATACTCTAGAGATTATTGTTTATTTTAATTACTTGCTTTTGCAGTTTGTTAACAGTTTAGTTTTCCTCATATTTGTTTGTAGTCCAACTTTCTCGCTTTCTCTGTTTAGATATTCAATAATTTTTCCCAAGTTATGTGGATCCTCTGCAAAGAGAATGATGTCGTCTGCAAATCTAAGATGATTTAGTCTTCTACCATTTATGTTGAGGCCATAGTTATCCCAATTCAACTTACGGAAAATATTTTCCAGTACTACTGAGAAAAGTTTGGGGAAAATGCATCCCCTTGTCTCACACCTCTTTCTATGTTAAATATTTCTCCTAAAGTTTCCAGTTGAACTCTTGCTCTGCTAGTTACTTATATTGCTGCTTATTTATATGTAACACTAAATGCAGGCAGGATTGTATTATTTAAATAAATTTAAGTTGAGGTGTAAAAATGTTGGCAGACTTTAAAAATAAAATAAATACATTGAGCACCTCTTACATCAACATATTTTGTGTGTCTCTGTCTGGCAACAAAGTTAAATAGTTAGTTGAGGTCAATAATAAGCTATTGCAATTCAGATTTTATTAGTAAAGATAATGACTTTAAGTACTCGACACACCAACGCAGCTAATTAATGAATAACTTATTACTATTGAATTTGTATTAATTACACTTGTCAGTAAGAAGGTAAAATCAAACATGAAATGAAAAATATTTCTTTTTTTACAGTTAGTTTGAACATTAGACCATTATTTTATTACAGTTTACAAGACTAAAGTCAATTGTCTAGTCAAATATTTTACATATTAATTTAAATTGAATGTATCATAACAATAGTTATTCTTTCACATAAGAATGCCTTAATAGATTTAGTAACATTGTGCACTTAGACATATTATACTTTTATCCAGTGTTCAGTTTCAGATCTTTGAAGTTTCATTGGTATAATCTTGAAAATGTGAAGATTTTATATGGAAACAGCTATCCTAGCAGTAACAATCGAGAATCACACATTTCAATGTATTCAATGTATAAGATGTATATCTAAAACTAAAACTCTCTACCCAGTTCAAATATTTTAACACAAATTAATTCCACTTAAAATTGTATTTCTATAAGAGTGGTCTAGTTTGAAAACTTGCAGATTTTCTAAAATATATTAAACCACTGAAATGTAGCTTTCATATTATGTTATTGCACAAACATTAATTTTTGTGTGTCAGTTTACAAAAAATAGATGCATATAAATCCATATAAAAGTCCTGGCTCTGTTCTGACATAAATTGTTTTTGTGGGTTTTGAAAGTGGCCCTTTATGTATTATCTTATTTTATTGATAACTTTTTAATTCATAAATTAATAAACAATTACACAAATTGTATAATTTAACATTTACACCTAAGGGCCTATTTTATTTGTCCTCATACTAGAGTTTAAAAAATTTCTAAATATTCTTATAATTTTGTTAAAATAATATCAATGAAAAGAATTATCTGTGCTTCAAAGACAGTACAGTACAAGTTATTGAGAAAGCTGTTTCTTTAGTTACCATTTTGAAAATAGTAAATATTTTTTCAGATAAATAGAATAGGTCTTCAGTATCATGTTAATTCATAAGATTAGTACAATCGCTTTGCTAAAACATAAAGAAGAGGTCAATGTTGCTACTAATTACTGTTAGTTATATGATAAAAATACTAAATAACTTTCGCTAAAGCCAACTTTTAAATGTGTTGTAATATATTAAAAAAAATTAATTTATTTACTGTGTGAATGGTTGCTATTTGAAAATAATTAGAATTTGTGTGAAGGTTGTGATATTAAAAATAATGTAAGTTTGCAAAGAAATTGCCAAAAGGTAGGTCACTAACAAATTAAATAATTATAAGAAACTAGTATAAATTTTTTCAGGCGCCAGACCTACCTGGAAAACAAAGCCGGAGAGTTTGGAGTTTTAATCGCAAGGGGGGCTTGTAAATAACAAACAACAACTTTTACTTTTGGTTTGCCATATATTTGAATGAAACTTTTATATATTTTGAAATTAAAGTTAAGTTTATAATCTCTAAAGTCTTAAAGGTGAGTGGAATTTTCGAACTATTAACAAAAAGGTTTTACATCACCAAATGAGCTGCTCCTTAATGCATCG